CCCTTACTATATGAGTCTCCCTGCTATGTTACTTCCTGGCTGGATCACAAGAAGGTAGCTATAACCTTCAAACAAAAGGAATATGCCATATGGTTAATTTTACAGCTGTTTCTCAGAAAACTCTCTCTCTCTTTATTTCTTAGTCCCTATTCAATTAAACCAATGGTGGCTTTAGAAGTGGATTTGGCTTTCCTCCTTTAAATCCAAGCACATTGTTAAAATAAACTTCAGAGTTTCTGTACTTTATCAAGATTCATGTAATACAGAATAGGGGAAAGATTAGAGACTGTCATTTGTCTTTTCTTGTTTTTTTCTCTCAAGGTATACACCCTTTCATAATTCTTATTTTCCCATGGTTGCCTTTCCCAGTATGCATACATATACAAGCAAACATTTCTCTGCTAACATTTATGTTTGAGTCCCACACAGCCAATGAAGACCTGCCTGACTGCAATCTCTGGACGCTCCGGAAAGAAAATGGACCACACCTCTTCAAGTACACTGTATCCAGCTGTTTCAACTGACACTCCAGCCAGAACTTCGGGTACTAACTTCAATCAACACAAGAACTTCAATCAAGATAAGGACTTCAACCTAGACCTCCAATCAAGTATCTTCCACCAAACACGGGCTGGATATAACCCATTCAGGACTTTCATCACACTAACATTTCTTCCCACAGGACCCCACGAGGTTGTCGTTGTTCAATCAACACAAGAACTTCAATCAAGATAAGGACTTCAACCTAGACCTCCAATCAAGTATCTTCCACCAAACACGGGCTGGATATAACCCATTCAGGACTTTCATCACACTAACATTTCTTCCCACAGGACCCCACGAGGTTGTCGTTGTCCCAGTTCAGCAGGAAGTAGAATGGAGAATACTATGCCCCCCTTCCCCACTGTTGACACCTAGTTAGGGCTAGTTTCCTATTGTTTAACGTTGGGTTTGGAAGGAGTTGTTCTAGCTTGTACATCTCTTTTGGATGACTTTAAGGTTTAGTTGGAATAGTTATAGTTAAGAAGTGACATTAGTAGGTTATTATAACCTTGTGTAATTTACCCTTATGATTGTTAATGACAGATAATTTATGCTGTTAAGTTTTAATAATCTTTTAGTCTAAAAAGGGAATTGTAGGGGAAAGGTTAGCCATGCCCTCTTGGGGGCTGGCACAGGTGATGCAGACCATGCATACTAGGGTGTGGTCAGTGACATAGCAAGACCTTAAATAAGAGGGTTATATGCAGGCGGCTCTCTCTGTTCCATGGTTCCCCTGATGTAGAGGATTGACTCGTCGCTGAGTACTTTCCTATTAAAACATCTGTTCTTCCCAAACTTGGTCTGACTCCTTAGAATTATGCATTATTTGCACCCCACTTTACCCCCAGAGTGATACATTTCCTTCAACAAGGCCATAACCACTCCAACAAAGTCACACATACTAATAGTGCCACTCTCTGTAGGTCCATTTTCTTTCAAATTACCACAAGAGGTAAACAGTGGAACCTATTATCTGTTTTTTTAGTAGATTTCTCCAATGGACCAAATTCCATATGAATTGAATTGCACCACACCAATTCATGTGTTGATCTGAACCAGTCATGTGGATGTGACCAAATTTACTGTTGTCACATATGTGTGCAGTTAATATGAGGTCATCCTGGACCAGAGTGGGCTTCTAATGCAATATTACTGGTAACTTTATAAAAACTTGGACAGTCGGACACAAATATAGGAGGCTGGTAAATAAAGATGAAGGTAGAAAAGAGCATGATACAGACCCTGCCAAAGAATGCTCCAGGCCACCAGCCAGCCATGACCTTCTAGGAGAAAGTTTAGGCATGTATTTGCTTAAGTGCTGACTCTTCAGTCTTGGACTTCCACCCACCAGAACTGAGAAACAATACATTTTCATTCTGAAAGGTAACACAGGATGTGCACACTAATGTCTGGAAATAGTAGATCCTCAGTGCCAGTTCCAGGTAGTGCACATAAAACTCTTCCATCCATAGTAAGAACAGAGTGGCTTACTTAGTTCATGCTTTGAATGGTTGTATCCACACAAGCTATTTTAAACTGTCTCGTGGTCCAAATCTACTTCATTTCTCAGAGAAAACAACTCTTTGGCTAGAGTACATTTGGAAAAACCATCTGGTGTATGAAACCTTGCCATCACCGTGGACAGCTTACTTACATACTCCATCAATCTAATAATTCTTTTTTTTAGGTTAATAACAGTAATTTATTAGGGGAAATACTCAATCTAATAATTCTTCCTATCCTCAAGGATTGCCCAGTCATGCAATGGAACCATCAAGAGTTTTTATAAAAATAAAGGTAGGTGGAGTTGCCTATTAATATAAGAAGACCGAATAGGTGAGGAGGTGGTTATATAATTTCTGGAAATGTACTGTTAGTATGGTCATTCCATATTCAATGTTACTTAGATTAGCTTCTCTGGTTAGGCAAGTGATCTTTCTGTACAGCACAAACAGTCCTAAATGACTGAGTACTGTGCAGGCAATTTCCCTGGCAGAGGCCTTATGCAGGTGCAACCACTAGGTTTAAAATACTATTTTATAAAGCATAATAATGGGTTCACTACTAGCCACATACTATACAATTCAACCTTAGTATCTTCTCTTCTCAAACTAAAACAAAACCCAGAACTTCTAGTGGTCATAGTCTTCAGAATTCCCATATATATGGGCAACTACTATAAATAACCCATAAAACAATGTTGAAAAATAAGTTGTCTGAACCCAAAAGCACATGGTACCTCACTGGTGCTGATACCTGATGACACTCATGGATATATTTGCCTCTTCTCCTACATTCAACCCAACTTGATATCTAATTCTTTTTAGTAGCATTGATAAGCAGGACTCTAAGGTTCATTTAGCTGTCCACTTGGGCAGCTGTTGAAGTAAATCAGAGGAAGAATGACATGGCCGATTGTGCTGACTGTGTTGAGTAAAGCTGACCAAGCATAAACCACAGCAGCCTCATTGATAGCAACCCAGGACCAAATGTAAGCCCTCAGTGGTTGAAGTCACAGTGAAGAGAGGATGTTGGGAACTTAGACCTGGTCTTACCAAGGAAGGAAGCTGCTACAAAGCCAATTTCTGACATTGAAAGTGGGCTATCAATTGGTGCAACCTTCCCTGGGAAGACTGATTCTCACACTCTTAGTGTTCCTTAGTTATCTAGGATTGAGGCCTTGTGAATTTTCCTCCATCCAGGTTAGCATGTCTACTTGTGTTGTCCATGTTCGGGTCATGTTTATGCTTCCATGTTGGTGAGTCTTCATGAGTGTAGCTTCTGATGTTTCTATTAGACACAGTCTCATACCAAACTTTCTGTTCCTCTTGCTCTTACAGTTGTTCTGTTCCTTCTTCTACAATGCTATCTGAGCCTTAGGTGCAGGAGTGTATTGTGGGTGCATCAGTTGGGACTGAGCTCCATGACTGGGCAATTTGATTGGCTGTGGTTTTAATGGTCTAGATCTATTGCCAAGAGAAGTTTCCTACTTGTCCAATGCTAAATGGTTATCTCTGCAAGAATATGCATACATGGAACATTATACAGAGTAAGCAGGTTGTATTTATGTATTTAGGAATATACACACACATGATATGTATATAACAAAATTAAGGGAAAGGATGATGAATTTGTAAGAGAAGAAGGTAGGGGTACATAGGAGGGTTTGGTGGAGGGCAGAGATGGGGAAATGATAAAAATTATATTATAATCTCAAAAAAACTTAAAGAAGAAAGTGAGCCATCACAGACTGAATTCTCAACTCCCTCCCCCTTCCTACTCACTCTTTCTTTCTCTCTCTCTCTCTCTTTCTCTTTCTTTCTTTCTTTCTTTCTTTCTTTCTGAGACACAGTCTCTCTACAGAGCTCTGGCTGCTCTGGGATTCAATATATAAATATGCCATCACACCTAGCCTTGAATTCTCCATTTTCTAAGGGCAAACAGAAGTTTTTTTTTTTTTTAACTTTTTGATGCTGATGAGCTACTTGTTGCTGTGGTAATGAATCTTCAGACAATGGCTTGAGCAATGCACATGGAAGGTTGTAAAGTCTAGATGTCAAGAGGTTGTGGTGGATTCCAGTTATGTTACAGTCAGGCTGTTGACAGGGCTGTCCTTCTTTCAGAAATTCTAGAAAAGCATCTACAGTCCTCTACTTTCTTGAGGCTGCCTGCATTCCTTGGCTTGTGGTCTCTACCTCCACCTTCAAATGTGGGCTGCATAGTGTTTCCAGATGTTTGCCCATCTGCTTCTTTGATCACATCTCCATTTCTGACTTTTCTGCCTCCTTTCCCTTGTAAAGAGTCTTGATTACACTGGGCCCACCACAAAGCATAGTCGAACAGCCCCTCTCAAAGACGACAGTGAGTGCATATTTGACCAGATTTCCAGCTGCAGTATGAGATGGTCAGATGTCAGAACCCAATATCTGGATTAACTCCATGGAAGATAAAAAAGTATAAAGAAAAAAGCCTCATCCTAAAAGTACCAGAGGAAGGGGTCTCAGAGCAGAGAGACAGTGGGCAGAAGAGGCAGAGAAATGATTGGAGGCCAGTTAAGATCGTGTCATAGGCCCATTGGGAGGGCTGTTCTCTAGCCAGGTCTTCACAATTGCCTTCAGCAAAGTTTGGAGCTTTACACACTGAATTTTTTGCTTTGTTTTGACTTCCTCCCTCCCTCCCTCCCTCCCTTTCTTTCTTTCTTCCTTCCTTTCTTTCTTTCTTTGTATATTTAGGATTTAGGAGCACTGGATGGATACTAGGACATTTGTTAGAGTGTGCTTCATATATCAACAGAACACTTTTCTATTTGTATCTAGCTATGCTGTAGTCATATGTGATTTCTTTTGGGTCATGGCTTCCTTTTGGTCACTGCCACACTGAAGGCTATCTCTTTCCAAGAAGAGCTTGGGTACAGATGCAACCTAACATAATGAGTGTCACATTAGGGATATCGTAAGTGTTCTGCTTCTTGGTGGAAGAAGAGATCAAATGCCTGGCCACAGAGAAGGTTAAGTACACTGAGGGAGTTGACTACATCATGCAGTTACCTGTGCCCATGGATGCAGCCCTTAACAAAGAGGAGCTTCTAGAGTATGAAGAGAAGCAGTGGCAAGCTGAGGAGGAGAAAGTACTACTGCCGGAACTGGTTCGGGCCCAGGTGCCCTTCAGCTCCTGTCTGGAAACCTATGGGGCCCTTGAGCAGGTGGACGACTTCTGGAGCACAGCCCTACAGGCGAAATCAGTAGCTGTCAAGACTACACGGTTTGCCTCCTTCCCTCACTACCTGGTCATCTAGATCAAGAAGTTCGCCTTTGGCTTAGACTGGGTGCCCAAGAAACTGAATGTGTCCATTGAGATGCCAGAGGAGCTAGACATCTCCCAGTTGAGGGGCGCAGGGCTACAGCCAGGAGAGGAGGAGCTGCCTGACATTGCCCCACCCCTGGTCACTCCGGATGAGCCCAAAGCACCCATGTTGGATGAATCTGTTATAGAATTGATGGAAATGGGCTTCCCCATGGACACCTGCCAGAAAGCTGTGTACTATACAGGGAATAGTGGGGCCAAAGCAGCCATGAATTGGGTCATGTTGCACATCGATGATCCAGATTTTGCAAATCCCCTCATCCTTCCTGGCTCCAGTGGGCCTGGCTCCACCAGTGCAGCAGCTGATCCCCCACCAGAAGATTGTGTGACCACCATTGTTTCCATGGGCTTCTCAAGGGACCAGGCCCTGAAACCACTGCGGGCCACGAACAATAGTTTAGAACAGGCTGTAGACTGGATCTTCAGTCACATTGATGACCGAGATGCAGAAGCTGCCATGGACATCTCAGAGGGAAGTTCAGCTGCTGACTCCATCTCTGAGTCTATGCCAGTGGGACCTAAAGACCGGGATGATCCTGGAAAGTATCAGCTCTTTGCCTTCATTAGTCACATGGGGACTTCTACTATGTGTGGTCACTATGTCTGCCATAACAAGAAGGAAGGCAGATGGGTGATCAACAATGACCAGAAAGTGTGTGCCTCTGAAAAGCCACCCAAAGGCCTGGGCTACATTTACTTCTACCAGAGAGTGGTCAGCTAAGAGCCTGACCTCAACTGTTACCACTTCGGGCAGGGGACAGACCATCTGGCATGAGGGATGGGGTTGAGGGATGGAATTAAGCCCCCTGCTCTGTACCCTTTTTCCTTTTGTCCTCAACAGCTGGAAAGAGCTGGAGGCGGTAGGAGAATAGCCAAGCAAAGAGAAGGGGTACTCAGTAGACTTTGGGGATAGAGCAGGGATGGGACAGGAAGGGGCCAACTGCCTATCCACACTGGGACCTTGTTGCTTCCTTTCCCTGGCCCTGGAATCCACAGTGCTCTGCTTCTCTGTGATGACCCAGCCCCTGGAGTTGGGAGGGGGTCTTATGTGTGTGTGGGTGGGTGTGGCTTTATGCATCCTTCCAGGGGAGGGAGCTACTGTACCTCCCCTCCCCTTATGTGTTTGCTCCCTTGTGGTTGGGCAGGGAAGGATAGGAGGGAAATAGGGACACCTCTTCCCCTTTGTTCTTCTGCCTCAGCCTCCCATTCTGTGTCTTTGGTCCTCCGGAAAAATGCCAAAATACATGATGTGAATAAAAGTACAATGACTGGAAAAAAATTAAAAAGAAAAAAAAAACACAAGAAACACACAGAGAAAAAAAAAAAAACCTGTAAAAGCACAAAACCAGAAACCATAATATACAAGCAAAAGATCAGTAAGACAAAAAAAATAAATAAATAAATAAATGCCCAAACAAAGCAATATGAGAAAAAAATCTACAAAAAATATCACTGAGATCATTTTGTGTTGGACATTGACTGCTGGGCATGGGGCCTGCCCTGAAGTGTAGTTTCTATACCAAGTGAAACTCTATTGGAGAAAACTAATTTTTCCTTTGCAAGTGGTTGCCAATTGGAGATAGCTTCCTGATTAGGGATGGGAACTTGTGTCCTCTTCCCATCTCAGTACTAGGACCCCTCCTGGCTCAAATTTTCACAGGCCCTATATAAGCTCTATGACTTCATATGTGTATCAGTCCTGTTGTGTATGGAGGACACTATTTCCTTGGTGTCATCCATCCCCTCAGGCTCTTATAATCTTTTCACCTCCTCTTCCACATAACTCCCTGAGCCCTGAGGGGAGGAAGGGTTTGATGGCCATCCCATTTAGGACTGGGTGTTCTCTCACTTTCTGCACAATGTCCAGTTTTGCGTCTGTCTGTTAGTTTTCATATAATGCAATAGGAAGCTTCTCTGATGATGGCCCAATAAGACACTGATCTTTGAGTACAGCAGAATGTCTTTAGGACTCATTTTGTTGTTTCCTTTAGCAGAACAAGAGTATTTGATTTTCCCCTAGGTCCATGGCCTACACATTCTCAGGTTCATACCTACCCAAACAGTATCAGTCATCAGTTCCCTTTCATGGAGTGGGCCTTATATCAGGGTGTAGTTGGCTACTCCCATGACATTTGTGCCACTTTTACAGGCACTTTTACAGGTATCTTTTGCAGGCACCTCACTGTTGTAGGTCATAGCATTCATAGCTGAGTTGATGATTTCCCTTTTCTTCTGGTAGTGAGCAGAATACCTTCCAGTACTATGAACACTATACGAACACTATTCAGTAGGAGTGAAGCCTCAAGTTAGGCACCAGCTCAACTAACTTGTCTATGTTCAATGAGATATGTAAATGTTGTCTTCTTCAATATAGCCTTATTATCAGTTTGTGGAGAGCAACCACTAGCCTTGGCAATGACCTCAGAGGTTTAGGGGTTTCCATGGGATCTCTTTGTCCAATTACTCAAATAGATGTAGCCCAATCCTAGCACTGGAGATTCCACTTGGCTGCAAAAGATGCATTGTTGGAGCATTGTCTCTCCCGTTACTTGGAGACTCCATTTAGGTTTCTTTTATGTATGTGTATATTATAAAATGCTTCTGTAGCAGTACTATGACCCTCAAATGGTCCTTAGTGTTATTTGGAACTCCTCATATTCCCAGTCTTACCCTCCCTCTTCCATCCACCTTCCCCTTTAACCTTCCCACTCCAGTTGCCCCCATCTCTGCAAACTATATATTCTAGTTTCCCTTCCTTTGAGATTCTTTGCCCAAGTCCTTTACACTGTAACTAACCTCTGTGTTTATACAAATTGTAGTACAATTATTGAATCTTAAAAAACTAACATTCACACAAAGGAAAACACACAATATTTGTCTTTTGGAGTCTAGGTTACCTCACTCAGGATAACTTTTTCTAGCTCCATCCACTTACCAGCAAATTTCATGATGTGTTAATCAACTGAATAATATTTTATTGTATGAATGTACCACATTTTCATTATCCATTCATCTATTGATGGACATCTAAGCCATTTTTAATTTCTGGCTATTACTAATAGAGCAGCAATAAACATGGATGAACAAGTATCTCTGTAGTAAGATATAGAGTCTTTTGGGTATGTGCCGAAGAGTGGAGTAGCTAGGTCTTGAGGTAGATAATTCTAAGCTTTGAGGGATTTGCATAACCAGAGCATGTTGATGAGGGTGATTCCTTCCCACAGGCAGCCCAGATAAAAGGAGTTAGAAGAAAAAAAACTTTGTTCTTTTCTTCTTACCTCCACTGTGCTGGCAAGTTTATCTCCTGTACTGTTGCAACCACTACTGCTGTTGCATTCTTTCACTGATATCATACCCAGTTTCTTCAGGCTTTCAACATGGAATGAAGTCCATTGACTCTCAAGGAATCCTTTAGGCCTTCAGTGCCAGATTGGGAATGCTGAGGCACTCTGCCTCTAGAAAGAGAAACTACTGGATTCTCAGTCTGTCTAGTATATGACACCCCATTGTCAGACTAAGCTAATCTAATAAACATAATTTTTGGTATATATTCATTCTGTTGGTTTTGTTCTAGAGAACCATAACTAATACAGAACTATAACCTAGGGACTTTAAAAGTAATAGAATTATCATAAGTAATAGAATTGTGATTTAACATTAGGTTGAAGACATACACTTTTTGAAGTTTCCTGACATACATAATTTGATAGGTTCTCTTATGCTATCATTTAGTGGCACATGGATTGTTGAAAATTAAGGTCTCATGACACTGACTTTTGCTACAGCTGGCATGATGCAGAGTAGCTGTTAACAATGGCAGTGTGAAGAAAGGTCTTAAGAAGGCTATACTGCATGTTCTCTATCTTGGTAGGTTCTATGTTGTTCTTAATAGAATGGTAAAAGTTGTTGATGCAAAGCTGATCATTTTGCTTCAGAAGAGGTGGGGAAGGAAAGTTGCTGCGGAATAATCCTTTTGTACACTGTGAAGATGTGTTTCTCTCATTGTGAACAAAGAGCTGATTGGACAATGACTAGACAGGAATTTTCAGGGCAGAGAGAATGCTAGAGAGAAGGAAGTTGGAAGAGATGCCATGAGACACAGACCCAACAGGAAGGGAAATAGGCACATGAGGTAAACGAACCTTGGGGCAGCACATAGATTAATATAAATGGGTTAATTTAAGTTATAAGAGGCAGAGCACATAGATTAATATAAATGGGTTAATTTAAGTTATAAGAGCTAGCTAAACTGGGGCACAGAGCTCCATCCTGTCCACCAAATCCCCAGAGACCCGGGGGCAGCCCAAATCATCCAGCATCTGCCGCCATTGGAGCCTTGGCCTCGCACCCATCAGGAGAGGTGCCACCTTCACCCACTGTAGGAAGAGATGGGAAGATGACAGTATAAAAATACATCCAGCAACATAAAGAGTAGCGTGACACCACCAGAGTCTAAACATTCTACACCAGGAAGACCTGAACATCCCAATGCAGATAAAGCAGAAGAAAATGACCTTAAAAACAACTTTATAAAGATGATAGAGGCCCTTAAAGAGAAAATGAGAAACTCCCTTAAATTAAAAGAAGAAAAAGTAAATAAAAAAATGGAAGAAATAGAGGAAAAGGCAAACCAAAAAATTCAAGAAATCAACAAATTGTTTAAAGAAAGCAAAGAAAGCCAGGAAAAAAATCAAACAGGTGAAGGAAACAATTCAAATAGTTCACTTGAAAACTGAAATAGAGACATAAAGAAAACACAAACTGAGGAAATGCTGGAAATAGAAAAGCTGGGTAAATAATCAGGAACTATAGATGCAAGCATAACCAACAGAATACAAGAGATGGAAGAGAGAATCTCAGGTGTTGAAGATACACTAGAGGAAATAGATTCATCAACCAAAA